GTATGTACCACCACACGACACCTGGTTTATACTATGCTGGGAATTGAACCCAGGGCTTTGTGTGTGCTGGGAAAGCCCTCCATCAATTCAGCTATATCCACAACCCTTACATTTATATTTTGAGGCTCTAAAATTTTAATTTATCTTGTTTGGGTATCAATGTTTTGCCCGTATGTGTATTTGTGCTCTGTGGATATGCCTGGTGCCTTTGGAGGTCAGAAGAGGGCAGTTCTGGAACTGGAGTTATGGATAGTTGTAAGCCATTCTACGTGTGCAGGAGCCAAACCCAGGTCCTCTGGGAGGGCAGCCAAAGGCCCTTAATGGAGGGGCCATCTCTAGTCTCCACTCTCAGCTTTGTTGTTATTTCCTTTGTGATGCTGGGGATGGAATCCAGGGTCTTGCACTTGCTAGGCAAGTGCTGTGCCACTGAGTCTTGCCCCTTTCCCTGGTAGCTGGGCAAACCTGAGCAAATTGCTTAATCTCCATGCCTTAGTTTCCTGACCTATGAAACAGGCCTAATGATGGCGCCTGGTCATGAGATTGGCACGAGGATTCAAACTGTGCCTGGCACACAGTCTGAGCACAAGACGCCAGTCTGCGATCCTTCTGTGTACAGCAAGTAGAAGAGTTTTTTTATTGTTCTGAGCTCTGCCCTTGGGAGGTAACACACAGAAGTGATTCTTCTGGTCATACAGGCCTGTGTTTGCACTGGGTCAAATGCCGAGCACATGGACTCACTCTGTGGAGTTCAAACCTGATGCTGGAAATGCCTGTGGCTGTACATGAAGGGTTTCCCAGACCAATGGGAGAAGGCCAGCTACTGCACTTTGGATAGGGAGCGGCTCAGAGAAGACAATCAAACTGAAAGGGAAGAGGAGTTTGGGGATGTGGACAAACTAGACCATGTTTGACCATGATACAAAGAGCATGAGTGGGGACAGGGAAAGCTAGAAGCAGGCCATGCAGATCTCCACACGGCCAGGACAGAAGCCTGTTAGAGCAGCATGGAAAAGTCAGTTGTGTAGAGACTCACAGAGGTTTCCTAATGAGAACTTACTCAGGGTCTGAGAATCTGAGCTTGCTTTACTCAGCAGGACTGCATAAGGGAATGATTTGACCACCGGCGTGGTTACCAGGTGTTTGGAAGGGTCTACACTTGGCTGTGCAGTATGCTTCGATCTAGCAAGAGGGAGGTCTTTTGCCTCACCCCTTGGCATTGTTATAAAAAGCTCTTTTGAATACATGTCTAAGACCATTGGGTTTTGATCCAGGTCCTCCTGAAGCTATCCTGTGTTTCTGTCTTTCTCCTCTTTGATATCTAAGTTTCTTATCTTTCTCTCCTCCTCATAGGAGCCCTTTTAAAAGGTGGGAGCTGGCTTCCCACAGACGGTGGCAGAACTAGGGACTTGGGTGCAGAGGAAGTAAGTTGGGGAGGAAGCACCACAGAAGCACATGTCCGGTTTTGTATGAAGGTTAAGGCGGTGGTATTTTATTCTCCGGGAGCAAAATCAATTTCTATCTATAAAATTAGGTAAAAATATAGGGCTAGGTATACGGATATTGTGAAGACTTAACAGGAAGGAATTTAGGGTAAGAGTAGAATTTCCCTAGTGCCGGACCTGAAAACAGCATCCAGGAACAAGCAGCCACTGTGGACTTAGCAGTCTGAAAAGCCAATATGGGGCAGGGAAATAGTAAGATGTTTGTATATTCACTTGTAGAGAGTTTGAAAACTAGGGGAGTTAAGGTAGAACAGTAACAAGTGCAGAGGTTCTTGGAGTTCATAGAGGAGCTGTGTCTTTGGTTTTTCGACTACGGGACTCTGGATGCAGACTCCTGGGGGAGAATTGGAATCAAAATGCAACAATATTATGAAGAACATGTGCTAGAAAAAGATTCCTATGGAAGCTTTTGACCTGTGGGCATTAATTTGGGACAGCTTAAATCTAAGTTCTGAGCAGCAGGGGGGAATTTTCAGAGGTGGATACAGGCAGAACAGAACCCTCAGCTCTACCAGAGCTGCCACTAGATGAGAACACTTTTAAAACATTGTTCAATCAGGGCCACTTCCCTCTTGGCCAGAAGTCTTGGGATGAGACAAGGGAGGAACTGAAGGGCTTGAAAAACTTTCTTTCTCAAAAACTGGAGGCTCTTCAGGTCTCTCCTTCTCAGAAGGGTACTTACCTTCCTTCTGTAGGCGGAATTAGACTCACCTGGGAGGTCATCTGTCAGAATAGCAAAGACATGCATAATTGTCCTGGTGCAAAAACCTCCAGGAGCCAGGGCTGCTTGAGAGCCATGACTCATAGCAGAGGGTGGAACCTTGAGACCCTGGGGTGAGAAGCAGTTGAGAATGCTTGGGCCTCAGCAATGGAATTGTAAAAGCCTGAACAGAGCTGGCAGCTAAAGCCATGCAGTTTCTGTTTGCTGGCTGTAAGAAAGTCTCTTTTGAAAGGACTCTTCTCCAGCCAGCTAGCAGCTTTTACCCTGGAGCAGTTTTTGCTTAGGGGAAAGCTAACTGAAAGTGCCTCTGTGCTGAGAGTGAAGCTTTGGAGTCATTTGTTTGAACTTAGTTGAATTGTTGCATTCAGGAGAGCTGCAATGAATTTGGGTAAAGGGACCACCCACTGGCTAGCGACCTGTCGCTGCTGGGCACACTTCCACTATGGCGGGGTGCTGTGACCAGCTCTGGGACAGCTGGGAGGGCCCGGCAGGGAAGGTGATTTTGGGGGGCATCGGCATCCCCTCCATTGTTTATCCACAGCCCAAGGAGCCAGATAAAAAGACTCCAGAGCTGCTGATGAATTAGGCTCTGATTTCAAACTTTCAGGGGAACATTAAGACTGTTATTAGAACTGACTTTTTGAACTTGGAACATCAGAAATGGAATAGTTTTGAGTTCACCTACAATTTTAACTGTGGTGACTCATGATTTACATACCCTCTGTCTTGTTGGAAGAAAATGTAAATAGTTCTGTTAAGAGATCTCTTTTGAATGTTTGCTAAAGTTTGTAAAGTGTAAAAAGTCCTATAGAGAATGTAAGTTTGTAAGAATCATAAATATAGCCAGGCGGCAGTTGCGCATGCCTTTAATCCCAGCACTCGAGAGGCAGAGCCAGGCGGATCTCTATGACTTTAAGGCCAACCTGGTCTACAGAGCGAGATCCAGGACAGGCACCAAAACTACACAGAGAAACCCTGTCTTGAAAAAAAAAATTGTAAATATATATAGTTATATTCATGCTAGTTCTAAATATATAGTAATATTTATACTAGAATTATGTTGATATTAATGAACCATGTTTTGGTGAAGCAAAGGGAGTCTTTAATTTTGATGCAGCTGCATCAGGAGTTAATTGATTTATTTGATACAGTTGCATCAAGAGTTTATTGATTTTAAAAAGAGCTTGGTGCAGCTAAGGCTGTTACTGACATCTTTTTTTTTTTTTTTTAATTTTTTTTTTTTTTTTAAAGATTTATTAATTCATTATATATACAGTATTCTGTCTGCATGTTATCCCTGCAGGCCAGAAGAGGGCACCAGATCTCATTACAGATGGTTGTGAGCCACCATGTGGTTGCTGGGAATTGAACTCAGGACCTCTGGAAGAGCAGTCTGTGCTCTTAACCACTGAGCCATCTCTCCAGCCCTGTTACTGACCTCTTAGACCCATCCAAAAAGGACATTTTATCTTGGTTATCCTCTACTCCTTAACTGGGGGCGTGGCAGCCATAGGGATTGCTGTGGTTGTTCCAACTACCTGTAAGCTCTTAGTAGGGACCTGAGTCAGAGTTGAGTTAAGCTCTATACTTCCCCCTGCCAGAGGTTGGTAGCCAGAAATGGGTAAAGTCCTTCTTGCTAGCTGCCAACCTAAGATGGAGTACACTTCTAAAAAGTGTATCTCAAGGACGGGTAAGGCTGATTAGAGAAGGATGACCTAAGGCAGGCACAGTCTATCTGAGGGGCCCTTTACTATATATTAAGAAGGGGGAGTTGTAGAGACTCACAGAGGTTTTCCTAGTGAGAACTTACCTGGGGTCCAAGAATTTGAGCTTGCTTTACCCAGCAGAGCTGCATAAGGGGATGATTTGACCATGGGTGTGGTTACCAGGTTTTTGGAAGGGTCTATACTTGGCTGTGTGGTATGCTTCCATATAGGAAGGGGGAGGTCTTTTGCCTCACCCCTTGGCATTGTTATAAAAGCCCTTTTGAATAAATGCCTAGGACCATTGGGTTTTGATCCTGGTCCTCCTGAAGCTATCCTGTGTTTCTGTCTTTCTCCACTTTGATATCTAAGTTTCTTATCTTTCTCTCCTCCTCATAGGAACTCTTTTAAAAGGTGAGAGCTGGCCTCCCACACAGTTGACCCCTGTGTCCCAGCCCCTCCTAGCTTCTGTCCTGGAGAGCTGGAGAGGTTAAAACCCTGACTTCTACATCTCATCCAATTTCAGTTAGGTGAGACACCCTGGAACTGCTGGGGGCTTGGTTCTGGCCGATCCATTCTGGCTTTCTCTGGAGGCTCCGTACTACAGAGGCTGTAGATCTTGTATTGCCAATGATGTTTATTTAAGCATGTGGTTTTGTTGTTTGCTTGGGACAGGATCTTGCTATGCAGCCCAGGCTAGCCTCAGACTCTGGATCTTTTCTGTCTCTGCCTCCTGAGTGTTGAGATTACACCACATCCAGTTTAGTTCTTGTCTTCCCTAGAACAGCTGCATGTGCTCCTCCTGTGACTTGCAACTCCAAGTAGCTCTAGAAGATCTGGCAGAACCCCTGCCCAGGAAATTCTAACAATCCTAGCAGACATTCTCCTCATCTACAGAAAGCTACTGACCTCTAGTTCCTGATTATGTCAGACTCCAGGCAATTTATTTCATTATCCACTTGCAGTCTATCCAAATATCCATTCACACCCCCCCTACACACCCATCTGCCCAGTCCCCAGATCAGGGACTGGCCAAGGGAGACAAGTCAGATGATTGTCATAAAACAAACTATCTTAACCATGGTGGATTATGTCAACAATCTTTTTTTTTTTTTTTTAAACAGGATTTCTCTATGTAACAGCCCTGGTTGTCATGGAACTTGCTTTGTAGACCAGGCTGGCCTCAAACCCAGAGATCAGCCTGCCTTTGCCTCCCAAGTATTGGGATTAAAGGCGTATGCCACCATGGCCTGGCTAACAATCCTTTGTGGGTTTTTGTTGTTGTTGTTTTGTTTTTTGAAACAAACAGGGTTTCTCTGTGTAGTTTTGGTGCCTGTCCTGGATCTCCCTCTGTAGACCAGGCTAGCCTCAAACTCACAGAGATCCGCCTGGCTCTGTCTCCTGAGTGCTAGGATTAAAGGTGTGTGTTACCACCACCCGGTCAATTCTTTGTTTTTAAAACTTAATTTTTCCCCCTTTTTATTGGGCTGGAGAAATGGCTCCAGTTAAGAGCTCATACTGCTTTTCTAAAGGACCAGAGTTCAGTTCCCAGCATCCACATCAGATGGCTCACAATTAGCTGTGACTCCAGCTCCATGGGATCTAACACCTCTGAACTCTTTGGGCACCTGCACACACAAATATATATATATATATATATATATATATATATATATATATATATATATATATGTATCAATCACACTGGCACACACACATACACATAAAAAGATAAATACTTCTTAGTGTGCGTGGGTGCGTGTGGGAGCGTGCGTGTGTGTGTGCGCGAGCACGCGTGCGCGTGTGCGCGCACACAGGTGCTTTTGTGCCACAACAAATGTGGAAAGTTTAGTGATTAACTTTGGGGAGTGAGCCCTCTCTTTCCACCTTATTGAGCCAGGGTCTCTCTTGCTGTTTCTGCCATGGTAACTATTCTGGCTAGCTGACCCACAAGCTTAAAGAAGATTTTCCTGGCCCTGCCTCCCATCTCACTGGAGGTGGGCTGAGATGGGATTACAGATATGTGCCACTGCACCCTTCTCCCCTCTCGGTTTAGCTAAACGGTATTCTATTTCCCCAGGACCTATGACTTCCCTGCTATAGGCTTTTGGGTTTTTTTAAAACTATATTTACAGTAATAGGCATAGATTGTCTCCTGTACAGTGAACTCCAAATCCAATCAGAGTGTGATTGGATTGGTTACCCCATACCGGTAATGCCACCATTATACAACTGGGTACATCCTGCCTGGCTGATCGGTCTTGGACTTCAGTGTTCACAGCCAGATAAGATCAGTGATGCCTTTTCTCCCCAAGCAACTTGTGCGCATATTCTGAGACTATGAAAGCTGGCCAGCAAAGAAGAAACCTCCAGGTCACAGCTTGATGTCTCCGCATCACACAACCAAGGTGCTCAGTATCTTCAGCAATACAGTCTTCTACAGTTCTGGTGGGCAACTTTTGTGGTGGTTAGTTTTTTGTCAAGGCTCATCTGGGAAGAGGGAACCTCAATCGAGAAAATGACTCCAAAGCCAATGAGACGGTTCAGCAGGTGAAGGAGCTTACTGCTAGGTCTGAAGACCTGAGTAAAATCCTGAGACCAGGTGAGAGGAAGAGATAGTTAACTTATCAGTTGTCTGCTGTTCTCTGTAACACACACACACACACACACACACACACACACACACACACACACACACACGAGATAATGTGGGAAAAAATGTCTCCATCAATTGGCCTGTGGAGCATTTTCTCTCTCTTTTGCTTTTTGTTTTGAGACAGAGTCTCACCATATAACTATGGCTGGTCTGGAATGTAGACCAGGCTGACCTCAAACCCAAAGAGATCCACCTTACTTGGTCTCCCAAGTGCTGGATCAAAGATGTGCTCCCAGCCAGAGGCATTTGCTGGAGTGATGACTGATGTGAGAGGTCACAGCCCACTGTGGGCAGCACCACCTTTGGGCACGTGGCTCCAGAAGGTGTGAGAAATGTAGCTGAACATAAGCCTGGAAGGGTCTAGTTGGCAGCACTCCTCCATGGCCACTGCTTCAGGTTCTCAACCTGACTTCTTGTCATTATGGACTGTGATGAGGACATGTAAGCCAAATAAACCCTTTTGCTTTTGGTCATAGTGTTTAATCACAATAAAAATTAAATGGAGCAGGCTTTTTTTGGACTGCCAGCCCCCAAATCATGACACAGAGACTTATCATTAATTATGAAAGCTCGGCCTTGGCTTAGGCTTGTTTCTAACTAGCCCTTATAACTTAAATTAACCTATCCCTATTAATCCACATGCTGTCATGTGGCTCGTGGTGTTTACTTCTCCTCTAGCAAGTCCTGTTTCCTCCACATCCCATCCAGCTGGCAACTCTGCCTTTCTCTTCCCCAAGACCTCTCTGTTTCCCAGAAGTGTCCAGCCTAAACTCATCCTGCCCAGCTATTGGCCATTCAGCTCTTTATTAAACCAGTCACAGTGACACATCTCACAGGGTTACAGGGCTACACCGAGGAACTGTCTTGAAAAGAGCAACTAAGAGAGAAGGTCTCATGTAGCTAGCTGAGCTTGACCCTGAAGGTCCGATTCTCCTGCCTCTGCCACCCAAATGAAGGGGCTATTATTATGTACCACCACACCTGGTTTATGAAGCCGGGCTTGAATTCAGGGCTGCATGTACGCTCGACAGGCATTCTACTCAGCCACACCCACCATTAGCTTTGTTTTGTTATTTGAGTTAGGATCCCAGGTAGCCCAGGCTTGCCCTGAACTCCTAATCTTCCTGTCGCTTCCTACCCAGAGCTCTGATTACAGGCATGCACAGCTTTTTATGTACAAGCTACAGATCTGAACTCATATTTGAATGTTTGTATGACAAATACTTTCGTTACAGAGCCATCCCCCTGGCCCCTATATTATTTTTTTTTTTGAATAGCAAAAGGGTTTAATTTAAAGTTGATCAACTTTTATGGTTTGTTTGTTTGTTTGTTTGTTTTGGTGTGGGGAAGAGGAGAGGGCAGTTGAAACAGGGCTTCACACTGCATTTCAGGTTGGCCAGGAGCTCACTATGTAGCTCAGGCTGAACTTGAACTCAGAGATCATTCTGCCTTTGCCTTCCTAGTGCAGGAATTACAGTCAGAACTGTTCCAATCTGATGCCAATTTGATGCTAGGCTACATATTAGTTTGTTTTTTTTTCCCCCGAGACAGGGTTTCTCTGTGTAGCTTTGCGCCTTTCCTGGAACTCGCTTTGGAGACCAGGCTGGCCTCGAACTCACAGAGATCTGCCTGCCTCTGCCTCCCGAGTGCTGGGATTAAAGGCATGCGCCATCACCGCCCGGCTACATATTAGTTATAGGTCAGCCTCGGCTATAAAATAAGCACCTAGGCCAGGTGGTGGTGGTGGTGGTGGTGGTGGTGGTACACACCTTTAATCCCAGCACTCAGAGGCAGAGGCAGGCAGATCTCTGTGAGTTTGAGGCCAGTCTGGTCTATAGGATAGCCAAGGCTGCACACAGAAACCCTGTCTCAAAAAAAAAAAAAAAAAAAACCAAGGATGCCGTGCCGTGGTGGCGAAAGCCTTTAATCCGAGCACTTGGGAGGCAGAGGCAGGCAGATCTCTGTGAGTTCGAGGCCAGCCTAGTCTACAAAGTGAGTTCCAGGAAAGGCGCAAAACTACACAGAGAAACCCTGTCTCAAAAAACAAAAAAAAAGAAAATAAATAAATAAGTAAATAAACAAGGAAAAAAATCCTATCTCTTTTGATACTGGTAAGTTGTCTTTTTGTCTCTTTTTCCTGATCAATCCTGGGTAGAATTTGTTGATTATATTAATATTCTCAAAGGATCCATTTATTTCCTTAATTTTTCTTTTTTTCTCTCTCTCTTTCCTTCCTTACTTTTCTTTTGAGACAAGGCCTCACTGGCTGTCTGTGAAATCACTATGTAGGCCAGGCTGGCCTTGACCTCACAGAGATCTGCCTGCCTCAGCCACCCAAGTGCTGGGAGTTATAAATGGAATACATTAAGTCATTTTCTGTGCAGAATATGGTTTATCTCAGTAAATGTTCCACATGCACTTAAGGAAAACAGAATGTACATCTTGTACTCTGGCCTGTGTTGTAGCTGAAGAAAGAAACTGAGTTAAGGGGATTCTGCAAGTCAAGGGCAGACTGAGCTACAGAGAAGGTTCCAGGCTGAGCTACAGAGTGAAAACTTGTTCCAACCTGTAGCTAGAGTTTTCCTGCCTGGCCCACAGTCAGGACAAATCTCTCTCACCTGCCAGTCCCACAGCCGCTCAAACCCAACCAAGTAAACACAGAGACTTATATTGGTTACAAACTGTATGGCTGTGGCAGGCTTCTTGCTAACTGTTCTTACAGCTTAAATTAATCCATTTCCATTAATCTATACCTTGCCACATGGCTCGTGGCTTACCGGCATCTTCACATACTGTTTCTCATCGTGGTGGCTGGCAGTGTCTCTCTGACTCAGCCTTCCACTTCCCAGCTTTATTCTCCTTGTCCCGCCTACACTTCCTGCCTAGCCAATGGCCAACCAGTGTTTTATTTATTGACTAATCAGCAACACATTTGCCATACAGAACATCCCACAGCACCAACCAACCAAACAACCAACCAAAAGGTGAAGGCACTTAAAGAGATCATAAAGTCTGCTGTTTGGTGGGGCAGGGTATACAAGTCAATTGTGCCTACCAGGATGATCACGTTCCTAGGACCTAATAAAACTTTACTGATTTTCTATTTCTTTTATTCCTCATTGGGAAAGGACTATGGAAATATTTAACTATTATAGATTGTTATGTTTTACCTGGAAGTTCAGTCACATTTTGCTTTTGTGGAGTTTGAAGTTCTATTTTTCTTTTTTCTTTCTTTTTTTTTTTTTTCCAGAGCTGAGGACTGAACCCAGGATCTTGCTCTTGCTAGGCAAGTGCTCTACCACTGAGCTAAATCCCCAACCCCAAGTTCTGTTTTTCAGTGAATATTTAGGATTGTTGTCTGTGTAATTACCTGACATTCTTACCTTTTTGTTTTTTGTTTTTGTTTTTCCAGATAGGGTTTCTCTGTGTAGCCCTGGCTGTCCTGGAACTTGCTCTGTAGACTAGCACATTTTTACCTTTAAAAAAATATATTTATTTTTTGCCAGGTATGGTGGCACATGCTTTTAATCTCAATACCTGGGAAGCAGAGGCAGGCTGATCTGAGTCTGAGGCTGGCCAGCTTGGTTTACAGATCGAGTTCCACAACAGCCAGAGCTACATAGTGAGACCCTGTCTTGAAAACACACACACTCATTTTACCTATGTGGTTGTTTTGCCTGTGTGCGAGTGCCTGTGTGTCTGCATGTATACTACATACATGCAGGATGCCCTTAGGGGCCAGAAAAAGGGCATTGGATCTCCTAGAACTGTAGTTATGGGTGGTTGTGATCCACACTGTGGGTGTTGCAATCTGAACTCTGGTCTCCTGCAGAAGCAATGAGTGCTCTTAACCACTGAGCCATCTGACATGCCCTTCAGCACTGGTATTATTCTTTACTCAGAAATCTATTTGTTGCTATTAAAACAAAACAAAACCCAAAAAACAAAAACCACTATGGTTCCTGTTTTGAGCTCAGGGTCTGTGTAAGCTAGTTTGAAGTCCACAGACAATTTCGGCACCTCAGCTCCTGGGCTGCAGCTTTTGAGGGCTACCACCCACGCTGGGTGGGCTTTTCAATGATGGAGCTGCCTGGGCTCCAGTCATACCCCATCCGTGCTCCTGTAATTAACCTTAATAAACTCTGGTTCAAACCAGACTGGGCAGGAATCGTTTCTTTGCTCTGTTGTTGCCCCATCTGGGGTAAGCAGGCATCCCGTGCATCCCCCCAGGAGAGGTAGCACAACAAACCAAGGACAGGGATGAGACTGCTCCATTTGGCCCAGCACGAGGCGATGACGGTCTGTATTAGGGCGGCGGTGGAGAAGATGGCAGAGAAAATGTGAGCGTGCTGGGGCGGTAGGATCCAAAGGACTTCCTCTCTCACCTAATGACTGCAAAACCTCCTAACGGCTCCCATTCTTGCCTGCCACCCCACCATGCTCTTTCCAACACAGGCTCTGGAGAGATCCCTTTAAACCTAAGTCAAGCTGGGTGGTGGTGGCGGCGGCGCACACCATTAATCCCAGCACTTGGGAGGCAGAGGCAGGTGGATCTCGTGAGTTCAAGGCCAGCCTGGTCTACAGAGTGAACTCCAGGACAGCCAGGACTGTTACACAGGGAAAACCTGGTCTCAGAATCTCCCTCCCCCACCCCCCCCCAAAAAAACCATGTCAAAGCGTCTTACCCCTGACACCCTCATGCTACTCAGAATAAAGGCCCATGATGTCCACCAAGACCTGACCCTGACCAGCCCCGCATCTGTTATCCACTCTTCACTAGCTCCGCTCTAGCCACACCTGCCGCCTTCAACAAATCAGAAGCTATGGACCTGCAGCTGGAGCTCTGCCCGGACATCCTCTGTGTTTGTAGGTCTTTCCTCAAGTCTTACCTCCTCAATGAAGCTTAGCCTATTTCCTCACTCATGACCACACCCCCACCCTGATACGCCCTCTTCACTTTTCTTTAGTTTTGTTTGTGCGGTATAAGTGCACGTGTCCATGTGAGCACACGGAGGCCAGGGGAGAACATCAGGTGTCTTACACTATCACTCTCCAACTCATTCTCTTGAGACCTGTCTTGAACCTGGGGCAAGGCTGGCACCCAGTAAGCCCCAGAGATCCACTGTCTGTCTTCCCACAGTACAAGGATTATAGGCTTGTGACTACATCCCGCTTTTTACATCTGTCCTAAGGATCTGGACTCAGGTTCTCATGCTTGCAAGGCATGCACATTTACCTGCTGAATCTTCTTCCCAGCTCTCCGGCAGCCTTTCTTTCCTTCTTTTTTTTTTTTTTTTTTTTTTTTTTTTTTTGTAACAGGGTTTCTCTATGTAGCCCAGGCTGTCCTGGATCTCGCTCTGTAACCCAGACTGGTCTTGAACTCAGAGATCCACCTGCCTCTACCTCCTGAGTGCTGGGATTAACGGTGTGCGCTGCCACTGCCCGGCCAGTAGCATTTCTTACCTTCCAGTGTTTAGGTAATTCACTAATATTATGTTGCCCAGGCAGACCTTGAAGATTTGATTGTCCTGCTTCAGCTTCTAAGGGGAGTTGGAATTACAGGCTGTACTGTGTTGCCTGGCACTGTTTTAAAATTCTATTTATGTGTGCGTTTGCTCATACACATGGGAAGAGCACCCCCTAGCTGATAAACTTGAGTAGCAAATGGTTTAAAAGGGTGTAGAGGTCAGAGAGAACTCTGGAAGTCAGTTCTCTTCCTTCACTATACGGGTCCCTGGGGACTGGACTCCAAACATTAGGCAGCAATTGTCTTAACCCTCAAGCTATCCGATGGCCCTCATTTGTTTCTGAGACAGGCTCTCACTCTATAGCCCCAGGCTGGCCTCCAATTTACAGTCATCTTCCTGCCTCAGCCTCCCAACATCTGGGATTACAGGAGTTGGCCACTATGCTGTCTGCTCACTAAACTATTTCCAAAATTGAATCGAACCAGCCAGGGCTACACAGAGAACTCTGTCTCGGAAAAAAAAAAAAAAAAAAAAAAAAGAGAAAGAAAGAAAAAAAGAATAGAAGAATGGGAAGGCTGAGTCTCTAGGATTGGAGGTAGCCAGCAGAAGGGCATAGAAAGCTTATTGGGGAGGGCATAGAGAGCTAATTTAGGACTAGTTACAAATTGAACCAGTAAGTCAGAGGTTCTCAACCTGTGGGTCGAGACCTTTATGAGGCATCACATATTAAATATTACAATTCATAACAGCAAAATTATAGTTATGAAGTAGCACTGAAATCATTTTATGGTTGGGGTTACCACAACATGAGGAACTGTATTAAAGGGTCGTAACATTAGGAAGGTTGAGAACCACCGTGGTAAGGTAAGCGGATGGTAGGGAAGATGACTGAGACCAAGAGCTCTGGGACTGGGGCTGACAGATCCTAAAGACTCCTAGGATGTTAGGCCTCTGAATCTGCACTGAGTCCGCCCTAAAAACGGGAGGAGCACTCCCTAGCTGATAAACTTAGGTACCGAATGGTTTTATGGGCGGGCAAAAGAAAAATTCAGGGTACAAGGTAGATGCTTTTGGTCTCCATTCTGTTTGCGATTATAGTGATTGCCTGAGCCCTAGCAAACTGAAACAGCAGACGGCTACCACCCAGGAATGAACACGCACGCTGACTGAGCACTTGGGGTACTGAAATCAACCTCTCGGCACAGAAGTCTCCACCCAAACCTCGAAAGAACTGGAGCTCTGCTTCGTGTCAGCCCGGCCACACCTGAGAGCTGCTCCCTTTGTGGGCGCGGTAAGCGTTCCCCGAGGCAGGATAGGGATCCCCTGCCTCTGAACTGCGCTTTCTCCGTTGGCGGCCAGCTGCGGTAGGACAGAGCCCAGAGCAACCCTGCCTACTGACCCTAGCAACCACTCACCTGCTGTTCTCTTCCTATAGGCCAGAATTTTTTCTTCCTTTTTCTCATTGGTCCGCGTAACTTTATCGCAACCAATCAGCGGTAGCCACGGGACCCAACTCACTCCTACCCTAACCAGCGTTGGGGGAGGTGACCCAGGAAGACACATCTGTTTTCTGCATCCAGTTTTCCCAGGAAGCACTTTACTTCTTACCGTGTCGGACCTGTCCCTGGAATGAGGCGCGGGCACATTTTATTTCTTTTATGTCTGAAGTAAAGCCAGGCTCTTGCTCGTTCCTCTCCCCCCTCCAAATGGCACGGCCCGCAGAATGCCCCATCTTCCAGGCATTTTGACAGCTGGAGTCCTGGAGGGTTTTAGAGTGGTGACCCTACTACGGTGACTAACAAGTGTTGTAGGGGCAGACCTCTTTGGTCGCGACCACGCGCCACATCTCTTGCTCGTCCCGGCTGCGTGCGCATGGGCCCTGGAAGCACCGGCGAGATCGCTGCGCGCAAAGCGCACTTGGTACGGTCCGCTCCGCCGCGCCCCGCGCCGCCGGAAGTGAGGTGTCTTACCCCCGAAGTTCCGGTTCGCAGGGGGTGGGGAGTGTTGTTAACCGGAGCGGCTGCCGCAGTCGCGGTGATTGAGCGGGCTCGCGGCACTGGGCTCCTGGTGAGTGGGCCCAAGTCCCGTCCAGGTTGCGGTTGGGGTAGGGGGTCGGGGACCAGGACCATGCCCTTTGGGGTCACTGAGATCAGCCCGCCCCCCTGCGTTCCGCCGCCAATTTTCGGCCTGTCAGATGGCTGTAGACCTCGGGCGGCAGCGCGGCCACCGTTCTAGAGGCCGGGCCCCGCCTGCGACGTTTGCAACTCCTAGCGCTCACAGGTGTGCGGCTTCGAGGCGACCCGGGTGGCTCTCGATCCCGCCTCTGCACCCTGCCGGTCGGCCGTTTCTCCGGTACTCGGAGTGGACACTGCTCGGGGGGCTGGGAAGGGGGTGCCAGGGTTCCAGACTGACGTACCCCGCTGGGCGCGCGTCTACGCTGACCACCCTGACACAGCTGTCACCGGCCGTGCCGCCTCCCAGGCTGTGCCCTCTGCGCCTTGCCTTCTCCCAGCCAGGCCCAACGTTCCCGCCTCTAAAGCCTGTCATGCCAGCTCCTACAGAGGGTCAGCTGTAGGAGCCCCCCTCCTCCCAACATCGCTGCTTTGCCTCGTTGACTCCCTAGAGGAGGCGGCTTGGCAGGCAGCGTGGAAAGAGCCCTAGATTTTTAAACGAGACTAACCCAAGTTCCAGGCCTTGCATCAGTGTGAGCCTTTAACCCTTATGAGTCTCGGTTTCTCGGTTGTGAAATGGGGAGTATATGCTGTTCTGAATCTAATGGGTGTCAGGGTGAAGTGAGAGTTCACTCCTACTACTGACACTACCAGGGACTACACTAGGTTTGCACAATTAGGACATCACAAAAGTCATTTTCCTTGTGCAGGTCTCTGGGCCAGGGCGATGTTCCGCACCGCAGTAATGATGGCGGCCAGCCTGGCGTTGACCGGGGCAGTGGTGGCTCATGCCTACTACCTCAAACATCAGTTCTACCCCACTGTGGTGTATTTGACCAAGTCCAGCCCCAGCATGGCAGTGAGTTCAGGGCTCAGTGAGGGAGGACTGTCCAGGGAGGGAAGGAGGAGTCTGTGGGGCAGAGGCAGGGCTGCATGTCATAGTAGGAGAGACATAGCCATTGGCTGCCTAACTTGGAATAATCTATGATAAGACTTGGGAACATGTCAGAATGATGAACCCTAGGCAGTGGAAAGCAAAAAAATGACCTCCAACTATGGCTTTTCCCCACTCCTAGGTCCTGTACATCCAGGCCTTTGTCCTTGTCTTCCTCTTGGGCAAAGTGATGGGCAAGGTGTTCTTTGGGCAGCTGAGGGCAGCAGAGATGGAGGTAATATGTTGTTGGCCCCCAAGGACAGGGTCCAGAGCCGGGCAAACAATGACGGGGTTCCATGTCATCCCCTGCTCAACCCACAGCACCTTTTGGAGCGGTCCTGGTATGCTGTCACTGAGACTTGTTTGGCCTTCACTGTTTTTCGGGATGACTTCAGTCCTCGCTTTGTGGCGCTCTTCACTCTCCTTCTCTTCCTCAAATGTTTTCATTGGTTGGCTGAAGATCGTGTGGACTTTGTGAGTTGGGAGTGGCTGATGGGCATGCTGGTGGATTGGGGCATAGGGTGACCCCAACATCTTGATGGTGTCCCTCTCTGCTCTGCCTCAGATGGAACGCAGCCCCAACATCTCCTGGCTCTTTCACTGCCGCATTGTCTGTAAGTGAGCCTTGTGAAGAGGAGGGGGTTGCTTGAGGGGGGGAGGGCCACTGAGGAGTAAATGTGAAAAGTCAAAATCTATGAGCAGTACCCCAGAGCCTTGCTGCCCTTTGGGACAGCTGTACAGGAAAGATAATTTAAGAAGTTCATTTGCATAGTCTCTGCCCTGTTCCACTCCAGGGCTTCTAAACTGCCTGGGCCCTCAGCTCTCTGCCTTTTCCCTTGGGCCTGGGTTGCCCCAACACCCTGCCTGGGCAAAAGTAGTTCCCAGAGGGCTGATTCCACTTGGGTGTACACATCTGAGTAGATGGCTGCATCTATGGCCATGATGGCCATGAGGGTGGGGCTGTCCTAGAGCAGGAAGTGCCTGTCAGGCCTGCGCTAACCTCACTTCCCTCCATCTGGGGGTCTCCACAGCTCTTATGTTCCTCCTGGGTATCCTGGACTTCCTCTTCGTCAGCCACGCTTATCATAGCATCCTGACCCGGGGGGCTTCTGTGCAGCTGGTGTTTGGCTTTGAGGTAAAACTTGTTTGAGAGTTTGGGGGGACAAAGCCGAGGTGGTACTGCATGTGCTGTGAGCAGTCCGACAAGTGCTTCCTGAGCACCTGCTGTGTCCCCCCACCCCCCACCCCACCCCCATACTGGCCACCAGAGAGCAGCCGTCATAGTCCTGCCTGCCCTCATGCACTCGTAAGGGACTGCAGAAGGGCACAAAAGAGGCCAGTATAGAGGACTCCTGACCTGGGCACCTTAGCAAGGAAGGCTTCCTGGAGGCTGGTGCCACAGCTGGCTATGGATAGACAGGAGGAAATTGCTGGGTAGATCACCCAGGAGACGTGTTCCAGCTCACATTTGCTGAGTACTTACACATGTCAGGCCTTGTACTGTATGTATAAGTTACATCTCATAATCAACAAAACTACGTTGTTGTCGATGACAGTTGATGCTTCGTTTTACCAATGAGCAAACAGAGGTTGAGCCAGTTGCTTTAGTGATAGGCTAGGAGGACCCCATCTGTGTCCAAAGCCTGGGTTGGTACCACTGTACCTGCCATACTGAAGCCTGGGCCTGGCTAGAGGAAAGGGAAGCTGATGCTTACATTTTTCTCATGTCCCTCCCTCCAGTATGCCATTCTGATGACCATGGTGCTCACCATCTTCATCAAGTATGTGCTGCACTCCGTGGACCTCCAGAGCGAGAACCCCTGGGACAATAAGGCTGTATACATGCTCTACACGGAGCTGTTTACAGGTGACAGGAGCCTGGGCCTCTCCTGAGCCACACCAGCATCCCGTGTGCCTGCCAGCTCTGTGGCCAGCTGTGCTCTGCCTTTCCTTCCCAGGTTTCATCAAGGTCCTGCTGTACATGGCCTTCATGACCATCATGATCAAGGTGCACACCTTCCCACTCTTTGCCATCAGGCCCATGTACCTGGCTATGAGGTGAGTCCAACCTTGTCCCTTCACTGTCCCAGACTGATTTCTTCCATCTGTCTTCCTACGCTCACTGACTTGTCTCTTTAGGCAGTTCAAGAAAGCTGTGACAGATGCCATCATGTCTCGCCGAGCCATCCGCAACATGAACACACTGTAAGTGGGTTTATCCTGGCTACCCTCCCAAACTCCGTCCTAGACCCCTTTGCTCCAAGATCTGGTCCTGACATGTTCTCTGCCATCTTATCCAGGTACCCAGATGCCACCCCTGAGGAGCTTCAGGCAATGGATAATGTCTGTATCATCTGCCGAGAAGAAATGGTGACAGGTGCTAAAAGACTGCCCTGCAACCACATCTTCCATACCAGGTGGGAGAGGGTCTGGGGGACCTGCGTCGTGGGCACAGGCTCATGGGGACCTGCTCATCCCTGTCTGGTCTTACTCCCAGCTGCCTGCGCTCCTGGTTCCAGCGGCAGCAGACCTGTCCGACCTGCCGTATGGATGTCCTGCGGGCATCGTTGCCAGCCCAGGCACCACCACCCCCTGAGCCTGCTGACCAAGGACCACCCCCTGCACCTCATCCTCCGCCACTGCTGCCACAGCCTCCCAACTGTAAGTGGTCCTTCCTTCATTTGACCTCAGAGAACCTTCCCTGCCCTCAGGTACTTGCCCTGGGCTGGGTATCAACAATGCTTGGGAATCCCAAATGTCTGCCCTCCAGAATCTCATTCTGGGCAGGAAGGGGTGAGAAGATGAGTAGATAGATGACCAGTGCTAAGCTCAGTCAGGAATGGAGGTCAACTCCTAGTAGCCAAACATCTGGCTTGGGAGTGGGAACTGTCAGCTCCTCCCGCCTCTCACTACCATTTTCTCTCTGCAGTCCCCCAGGGCCTCCTGCCTCCTTTTCCTCCAGGCATGTTCCCACTGTGGCCCCCAATGGGCCCCTTTCCACCTGTTCCACCTCCCCCAAGCTCAGGAGAGGCTGCAGCTCCTCCGTCCACCAGTGCAGGTGAGCCTTTTGTATGCTAAGGCAGCTGAAGTCGCAGAGTCACATCCAGAGACCCAGAGACTGATTTTCGTTCTGTGCTTTGCCAGCTGTTTCTCGGCCCAGTGGAACAGCCACCACCACAGCTGCTAGTACCAGTACTCCTGCCCCAGCATCTGGCTCTGTCCCTGGTCCAGAGGCTGGCCCTGCTCCTGGCTTCCCCTTCCCTCCTCCTTGGATGGGTATGCCCCTGCCCCCACCTTTTGGTAAGTTGGCTACTCTCTGGGATGTTCAGGGTAAAGCGGTCAGGCCCAGGTAGCTCAGACTGACCTCTGCCTCCTGCCAGCCTTCCCGCCAATGCCTGTGCCCCCCGCGGGATTTGCCGGTCTGACCCCAGAGGAGCTACGGGCGCTGGAGGGCCATGAGCGGCAGCACCTGGAGGCCCGGCTGCAGAGTCTGCGCAACATACACACGCTACTGGACGCTGCCATGCTGCAAATCAACCAGTACCTCACTGTGCTGGCCTCCTTGGGGTATGCATGCCAGATTCTAGTAGAGCTCCAAAAAGGCCCCTTGTAGCTTTGACGTTTGTCTTCCTTGTACACTGTAATATATTCTGCTGCCTCAGGCCACCATCTCCAGGCATGCCCAGGAGCTCTTGGTCATGCCCAGTGCTTTCATCCTCCATTCAAGTGCATCCAGAGCTGTGGAGTCAGTGTTTACCAGTGAGCTGACTGTGAAAGTTATTCACGTTTTTCTAAACTCAAATGATTCCTGACACTTGCTGCTACAGCTCGTCACCTCACATCCTCCTGACACTGAGGGAGCAAATAGAAAGTCGCTTCAAGCCACCCTGTTCCAGGTTCAAGTGCTAGTCTCATCGCTTGCTTGCTTGAAGACTTGCTTTACATTGGAAATCACATTCTCAGTCATAGGTGACATGTGCAAAGGGCTGGCAGGTAGCTGTAGTCCAAGGCTGAGCACTCCAGCTTACCCAGTAAACCCCCTAAGGTGCCCAACTCTAAGTGGAGACTGAAGCGAACCTGAGATGGGTCAGCTGTCTCTGCCTGCTTTATTGTAAATCTCTGCAGTGATTTACAATCTATGGGCTGAATCACCTGAGACTCGAATCCACATGTGTTCACTTACGTCTGCTTCTCACAAGGATTCAAGGACAGCTTGCCTTAGAGCTTGCCCTGCAAGGCTTGTGGTGGTGGTGGTGGTGGTGGTGGGGTTTGGTAAGAAAATCTGTCCAGCCTGAGATGCCCAGGTTAGGCCTCTTTTGTCCCTTCTCTTCCAGGCCCCCCAGGCCAGCTACTTCCGTCAACCCCACTGAAGAGACTGCCTCTGCAGTGGTGACTGCTGCCGCCTCCACCAGCGTCCCCAGCTCTGAGGTCCCTGCCCCATCCCCAGGAGCCTCCCCACCAGCCCCTGAAGCTGAAAAGCCTCCAGGTAGGTGTGATTGGCCCTGAGGGGTGAGGATGAAGGATTTTCTGGGTTCCATTTCTGACTTCTCTGTCCAGCTCCTGAGTCAGTGGGCGCTGCAGAGGAGCTTCCTGAGGATGGAGAGCCTGATGCTGCAGAACTCCGCCGGCGTCGCCTGCAAAAGCTGGAGTCCCCTGTTGCCCACTGACACTGCCCAGACCTGACCCTGCTCTCGAGTGGCTCTCTGGAATATGCCCTGCCACCAAGTGCCAGCTCCCTCTGTCTGCATCAGGGAGTAGTAACCCCCAGCTGAGAAGGAAGTGGCAGGATCTCTGAGGCCGAGAAGTGGCTGGGTTCCCAGTTGATCCATTCCCGACGGCCCTGGCAGCCATGGGATGTCGTTCAGTTCTCACCTTCCTCTACCACTTCTGCTGTCTTCTGCTGGGTCCCTGAACATAGAGGCTGCACCTCTGGGAGAAGGTGAAGCCCCCCCAAGCCCTGCTTGAGTGTGGGGCCATGCTGCAGTGCCGAACAGTATTAGCTTCTGTTCCCAAGTGTGCAAACCCAGAGGGGCTGAAGACAGACCAGGACCTTACCCCCCTCCTGCCAAGACTGGTACCAGCCTCCTTCCTCATCCCCATCTTCTCAGAAACCCCTTTGTGATGGTGGCTGTGCCCCCTAAGCCCTGTGGCATTTCCATGTCTTACTGGCAACCACACAACTCAGGGAAAGGAGTGCCTGGGGGTGGGGGACAGGCGGGCAGCACTGAGGGACCCTGTCCTGCCCCTCCCCAGGCTCTTTCCCCATCTCACCCAGCAGCCACTGCCTGGTGGGCCTGGCTGAGGGTGTGTGCTGCTCCTTAACCACTGCTCCCCAGAACCCAAGGCAGGCCACCTCCAACCTGTGGGACTTGAGTTCAGGATTGGAACTATTTCTGTACCTAGAGGCTTTGGGCTTAAATTTTGTCTTTTTGATTTGAATGCTTGACCCCAGGAAGAAGGAGCAGGTGTGAGGCTGGGTACCTGGACTTTCCAGTTTAGAACAGGCTCTGGGCCAGGCAGGGACCATGGAGCCAAGGCCTAGCTGCTTCTGTCTTTCTTCCTTTTGGTTTTGTGTTACAGGAGTTTCTGGAGACAGTTTCAGATGATTATTTAATTTGTAAATATTGTACAAATTTTAATAGCTTAAATTGTATATACAGCCAAATAAAAACTTGCATTAATGACTGGTGGGGCTTGTAACTTAGGGCAGGGATCCTTTCCCTTGCCTAGCCCGTAGACTTATGGTCTGTGGTCTCCTGGAATGAGGATGCCAAGATATTTAACAACTAGACATACTTTCATCTTACACGTGGAGAACCTGAGCGCTGGGAGGTTGGTATCTCTTCTACTTTAGGTCTGAAGTCAAGCAGGGTAGCCAGGATCTGAACACTGCGAATCAATTTAATGGTGGAGTTGGACAAGTGGCTGAAATGGGATGGGACAGCAGGAATGAAAAGCCTTCATTTTCCTGTTTTCAGTCAACACAGCCGATTCCACGACAGCGGGCGGACGTCCCCAACCCTACCTATTACAGCACTCAGAACCTAAGATATTTTGTCTGTCTTGTCCAGTCCAGTCCAGGTCCTTGTCCTGTGTTGTCTATGTTGTAGCTAGAGTTTTCCTGCCTGGCCCACAGTCAGGACAAATCTCTCTCACCTGCCAATCCCACAGCCACTCAGACCCAACCAAGTAAACACAGAGACTTATATTGGTTACAAACTGTATGGCCGTGGCAGGCTTCTTGCTAACTGTTCTTACAGCTTAAATTAATCCATTTCCATTAATCTATACCTTGCCACATGGCTTGCAGCTTACCGGCATCTTCACATGCTGTTTCTCATCATGGCAGCTGGCAGTGTCTCTCTGACTCAGCCTTCCACTTCCCAGCTTTACTCTCCTCCTTGTCCCGCCTATACTTCCTGCCTGGCCACTGGCCAATCAGTGATTTATTTACCAACCAATCAGAGCAACACATTTGCATACAGACCATCCCACAGCATCCATATTCACCACTAAGCCCAGTTTGACTTATAGCAAAAGCTCCAGAAGGCCAAGGATGCATGTCCCTGATGGGTTGTTTCTAGAAGGGCTGACTTAATGTCTCCCTTGTTAGCCTGATTCTTCCTGTGGGCTCCCACATTGGACACTTAAACAGAGGTCTTTTTCCTCTTTATGGAAGCAAGGACTGATCTCAATGTCCTTTACCCTGTGCTCTGAATCCCATTCCAGAGACTCCAAATCCACTTCCTCTCTGGATGCCAGTCTGTGAGGGGCACTGCCATGGACTGATCATCAGGCCTCAGAAGCCTTTCTCAAGAAGCCAGGCTTTAAGCTGCTCATCAAAGTAGCCCTTGATTCGAAGAGTACCTGTCACCTCATTAACCTGGGTGACAGGTGTCTTTCCCAGCTGTGGGCTCAGAAATTCTTCCACATCCTTCTGTAGAGCCTGGAGAAGGATAACTCCAGTCAACAGGTGCTAATCCCAGGGCTCCCTCCCTTCAACCCTGGAAGGATCAGAAATAGACCCAAGCCACTTACCCAGATGTCGCCTTCCACCTTCCGGATCACAGTCATCTGTCGGTTGCCATGTGTGATGTCTTTGTAGACTGGGATGTTATGCATCCGGGATCGCCGAACAAAGTAGGGCAAGTTGGGAGGGGGATCTGTAAAGGGGTACGGTATAGGAAGCCAGCTTATCCTAAGCCTCGGCCAAGGACCTTCCCCTCACAAAGGGTTGCTGCAAGGTTTTCGTTTTTGCTTTGAGACAGATAAGGTCTCCTGAATCCTAGGCTAGCCTCAAACTCATGTAGCTAAGGATGACTTTGAATTTCTAATCCTTCTGCTTCTACCTCCCAAGTACAAGGATTCAGCCTTGCTGCACCTGGCTACAGAGGGTCATTAAATCCTACTGGACAAAAATCCAGACTTCAAGTCAGGGCATCTCCTCTGTCCTTCAGTTTATAGTTAGGACCGAATTTTCACCTTAGTGCTATAAGGCCCCACCCAGGCCTGCTACCATTTAAATGCTCAAAAAGAAATGAAGAGCTAGGCATGACTGTTCATGCCTAGAATATATAGGTAGTTCAAGGCTCGTTTGGGCTACCTTAGACACTGTCTCAAAAGGAAAAGTCAGGGGGATCACTGAGTTTGAGGCCAACCTGGTCAACAAATTGAGTCCCATGACAGCCAAGCTTGTTACACAGAGAAACCCTATCCAGGAAAAAAAAAAAAAAAAAAGTCCGATATGGCGGCACATTTCTTTAATCCCAGTCAAGGGAATGGCGGCACATTTCTCTAATCCCAGTAGAGGGGAACTGATGCGTCTGTGTTTGGGGCCCAGACCTTTAATCCCAGCACTCGGGAGGCAGAGGCAGGCGGATCTCAAGGTGGAGTTCGAGGCCAGCCTAGTCTACAGAGCAAGTTCCAGGACAGCCAGGGGTACACAGAGAAACCCTGTCTCAAAAACAAACAAACAAAACACATAAACAATAATTTATTACAGTTTATCTCCCTGGATCTTTGGGGAAACCCTCTCTGGACTACTCTCTCCTTTCTCATTGACCCAGTGAGGGTGACAACTTATTTAACAAAAGAGATGGGAGTTAAAGGGGTTCTTTTGGTTTGGTTGTTTGGTTTGCTGTTTTTGAGACTGTAGCTCCAGCTGACCTAAACTTTGTAATGGCAATGGGATTTTTTTGTTTGTTTGTTTTTTTTTGTTTTTTTTGTTTTTTCGAGACAGGGTTTCTCTGTGTAGCTTTGCGCCTTTCCTGGCTCTCGCTCTGTAGAACAGGCTGGCCTCGAACTCACAGAGATCCGCCTGCCTCTGCCTCACGAGTGCTGGGATTAAAGGCGTGCGCCACCACCACCCGGCGGCAATGGGATTTTTATAAATATGATCACACAATGGACTCAATATTAAAGGTTTTACTTTATATGCTGAACAGATTATACACCCATTTTGCTGAATTTGAGGTTAGAAGAAGTTAAATGATTAATAAAATCACACCAATAATGAAAGGCAAAACCAAATTCAAACCAGGCCTGCCTTTCTGCTAAGCTGCATTCTCTATTGTACACAGTCAGTTGGCCTGGAAGAAGAGAAATCCAAACACATGGTCTTCTTTCTCTATGCTTTCTCACCACAAGAGAAGACTCCACCCCAGCAAAACAGGGTTCTATTCTTGGGCCCATCCCTGGAGGATGAGAAAATACTAGGCCTCCATCTCAACAGCACTCCTAAACCCACTGGGAAGTTCAAAGCCTCAGCTGGGGCAAAGGACCCTCCTCCTCTACAGCCTTCAAACTACCCCCATCACTCACTCAGCTCACCTTTGGGAGGCTGCCAGCCACTAGGAGTGGGATAATGTTTATGCTTTGGTGGCTCTGGGATTTTGGTAGGGGGGAACAGGCGCTCCACAAACTGGTATTCATCCACAGACTCCACAAAGCCGGTGTTATCAGGAGGACCCTGGATTTGGCTCTAAGGCAAAACAAACAAACCATATTTCCATTAGTTCACACAACACAGAAGGACTTTAGTAGGCAAGGAACCAGGCAGAAAGAACAGCATAAGAAAAGACCTAGAGCTGGGAAAGCACCAGACTTTTCCAGAGTGCAAGGTACCAGGGGGGACTGGAAAAACAGTGCAAACAGTCTGAATTCCAAGATTTCTCCAAGACTCAAATGACAAACATGTCCACATTCCTGAAAAGCCAATTAACCATAAGACTAATCAATATAGTATTCTTCAGCATTTTTTCTGAACATCGTGTTGAAATTCTTTAGCTCCGACCATGGTGCTTGAACCGATCAGGCACCGAGCGAGGACGGGCAGCTGCTCTCGGTCCTAACTAACTCGAGCTATGTGGCAGCCGCATTCCAAAACCCAGACTACCCAGGCTCTGCCACCTGCCCTCTCCACCCTGCATCTACCCTCGAGACAAGTGTCAAGCCGAGTATACAGGAAAACCAAGGCCACGTGAGGGAATGCGGCGTTCAGGGTTGTCATGAGTAACAGTGAGGCTCACACACAGCCTTTTGCCCTCAGCTCCGAACTCTCACCAGCTGCCGTAGCCCGTTGCTCCACCGGACGCAGCGGCCCCAGTCCCGCAGAGCGCTTCGGAACACAGCTACCGCCATCTTGGATTGACCAACTGCGAGTGCCATCTGCGCGCGCAACCTGCTGGGGCCCGCCCCGCCCCCTGCGCGCGCCGCCCACAGGGACAGAACGCCTGCGTAGTGCGTTAGGGGAAAGGCTAGGACGGCGGTGGGCGGAACAAATACCCGCAATCCGCGCGGTCGCGCAGCAGTGACGTAACACGCGACAGGAGGTGAGGACGTGCGCGCTCCCGCTTCTTCCTCTTTCTTGACTCCATCTTCGCGGTGGCAGCTTCGGCGTCCGCGGATTAGGTAAGACTCGGGGGACTGCAGGACCTGTAGCGCTCGGGAGCAGGCCGTCTGCGGGCTCAGAAGGTGCGGGGAGGTCAAGGGACAAGGGCTGATCTGCGGCCGTGTCTCCCGACCTCATTCAAGTCGCTGGCGAGCCCCACCTTTCGCATGTGGAACGGCGCAATCTCCTGCCCCGCTTCCCATCTCCTGATCTGTCTTCTGGGACGCTTCTTTCCTTCTCTCAAGAAGCCTTTCTTTTTTCAGTCGCCAACATGCAGCTCTTTGTACGCGCCCAGGAACTACACACCCTTGAGGTGAGCGGCCAAGAAACGGTCGCCCAGATCAAAGTAAGTGTGTAATGCTCTTTTATTCCACCTAATTGTGCTCCTTTATCCCAAGGCACGCAGGGAAAACTTGTTTACTTACAAACATTGTTTCTTTTTTTACTGTAGGCTCATGTGGCCTCACTGGAAGGCATTGCCCCGGAAGATCAAGTCCTGCTTCTGGCTGGCTCGCCGCTGGAGGATGAGGCCACCCTAGGCCAGTGTGGTGTAGAGGCCCTGACCACTCTGGAAGTAGCTGGCCGCATGCTGGGAGGTGACTGCTTTTTTTCACTAGGAACTAATGGAATGTGTGTAGTTACAGCATGTGACAGCGTACTTCTGTGGCAATACACTTGTGTCTTCTAGGGTCTTTATTTCATAATGGTACTGCAGTCTCTAGCCAGACTGGTTCTCGGTGTCCCCACTAAAATCAAAATCCAGAGTGGCATGGTAGCACTTGGGAGACAGGCAGGCAGGTCTCTGTGAGTTTAAGGACAGGTGTACAGAGCAAGTTCACAGCCAGGGCTACACAGAGAAACCCTGTCAGGAAAAAAAAAAAAAAAAACCCAGTAATCATCAGAATCTGATTTACTGGGTTCTCAGAGTCCTTGCCTTAGTATGCCTCAACCCTCAGCACTGAATAAACTGGCCACAGTGACACTGAGGTGGGAACCAACCTGGGATAGCTATTCTGTGACCCCCATCTCCAATCTCTGCAACTATTGATTCATTCCTTGTTGGCCCCAAGAGTAAGGGTTGTGCTGGGCAGGGCGTTGGGTTGCTTCTTACCTGCTTCCTTTCTCCCACTCCAACACAGGTAAAGTTCATGGTTCTCTGGCTCGTGCTGGAAAAGTGAGGGGTCAAACTCCTAAGGTTAGTGAGCGCCAGAATTGGTATTTGGACTTGGTTTTTTCCTGTTGCAGCCTTTTCTTCCTGTTCGCATTCTCCTTCCTGGAGGGGTACTGGTGGGAAGGATGCCAGGCATGGGAGAGGTCAACCAGGGTCTTACGAGTCCTTCCCTTTCCCAGGTGGCCAAACAGGAGAAGAAGAAGAAGAAGACAGGCCGTGCCAAGCGGCGAATGCAGTACAACCGTCGCTTTGTCAACGTTGTGCCCACCTTTGGCAAGAAGAAGGGCCCCAATGCTAATTCCTAAGTCCTGTGTGGTTCTGGCACTGTAATAAAACCACTTTGCCCAGACTTGTTACTGCTTTCTTCATTTGTGAGGCCTTAGGAAGAAACTTTTGTTTGTTTTGGTTTCTCGAGACAGAGTTTTTCGGTGTAGTTTTGCACCTGTCCTGGATCTTGCTCTGTAGACCAGGCTGGCCTGGAACTCACAGAGATCCGCCTGGCTCTGCCTCCCGAGTGCTGGGATTAAAGGCGTGCGCCACCACCGCCCGAGGAAGAAACTTTTAGGCTAGTGAAGTGCCTCTTGGTCATTAGGAAGGGTAAATGAGAATCAGTCACCACCAAGGCCAGCTCTCAGTAGGGTGGTGGCACACTTTAGTCCCAGCACCTGGGAGGCAGAGGCAGATAGGTGGAGCAACCAACCAGATTTAGTGTTAAGCTATTTTGTGGAGGCAGCGATGGGAGGGAGGGAAGGGTTTGGGTAGGAGTTGAATTGGTCTTCACTGAATTTGAGACCAGCTGTAGTATCAAAGTGCAAGGACCATGGGGTCCCTCAGCTTTGGAAATTGGTATTACCTGATTACATTGGCATCTTGATCTTGTCTGGGCTAACTTAACCTGTGACTGAGCAGCTGATTAATGGTTCCACCCTAGCAACAGGCTTCCAGTATTACCCAGACCCCACTCTGCTCATCGGTGTTTTGGAACCCACTGCTTCTTGGAATGTACCATGGAGTAACGCTGAGTTGGACACTCCATCCATTCCATTTAACTTTAGCTGTCTGAGAGTTGTGCAGGTCAAAACTGTAAAGTGCTCTGCCACCAGTGTCTGGCCCATTGTAGACAGGTAAATAGGGACTGCCTCAGACTCTTATCGTTTAACCCTTTGCTTTTTTACTATAGAGGGTGTGGGTATGTCCCACATTCATGTTAAACATAGGACAGCATTCAGGAGTGTTCTAGGGATGGCACCCTGTTAGGATTTGGAAGCAAGTACTTGGTTTTTGAGACAAGGTCTCAAACTGAAGCCAAGGCTGGGTTTGAACTCAGTAACCTTCCTTCCCCAGCCTCCTAAATGCTGTTACTAGACTACCACATGCTGTGTAAACTACACAGCTGGTTTGAGTAGTCCTCAAGGGTCAAATCCAGAACTCACATCCCCAACTCGGGCTCTTTCTAGAGGAAAAGTAGGAAACTGAGCAAGGCATAGTTGCACATACTTCTTTTTTTTGTTTTGTTTTTCAAGACAGGGTTTCTCTGTGTAGCTTTGGATCCTGTCCTGGAACTCCCTCTGTAGACAAGGCTGGCTTCAAACTCATAAATGCTGGGATTAAAGGTGTGGGCCACCACTGCCCCGCTGTGTGGCACATACCTTTAATCCCAGCTCTGGGAGGCAGAGGCAGGCAGATTCTCTGAGTTCCAGGCCAGTCTGATCTACAGAGCTAGTTGCAGGAGAGCCAAGGCTACACAAACCCTGTCTCGGGAAAAAAAAAAAAAGAAAGAAAAACAATAAGAATTGAACTGTTTTTGTTTCTCAAGACAGGGTCTCACTACGTAGCTCTATCCTGGAACTCACAGAAATCAGCCTGCCTCTGCTGATCTGGTGCTAGGATTGAAGGCGTGTCGCTACGCCCTGCTAAGACTCTGGATTTTTTTGTTGTTGGTTGGTTTGTTGGTTTTGTTTAAAAGGTAGTTTATTTTTACATAATTTGGTAAAACCACAGGGAACAAGCTGGGATCAGCTACATAATGCTTTCGAACTCAGCGAGCTACGGTGCTGGGAGGAACTTGGCTCTTCTGCACATGCCCAAAGGGCTACTCAGAAGACGAAAGTTACCGAGAAGCCTCGGGAATGGGCCAAAGGAGACTACGTCGCCCCACGCACAAAGGCGGAAATAACCGAAGAAGCGCCGGAAGTGGCGGAGCTGCAGCCGCTGTGTGGTGCCCGACACGCGGTGCCAGTTGCCATGGAGCCCGCAGGGCTCTGCGGCTTCTGCCCAGGCGGGGAGGCACTGCCGGCGCGCTACACCTGTCCGCGCTGCAACGCGCCCTACTGCTCGCTGCGCTGCTACCGGGCACATGGCTCCTGCGCGGAAGACTTCTACCGCGACCAGGTGCTGCGGGAGCTCCGCGGCCGGAGCGCCTCACCCAGCCGTCTGGCGGGCGCACTACGCCGGCTCCGCGAACAACGCGAGGCCGAGGATGAGCCTGAGGAAATAGGCCTCAGGCCGGACCCGCGGCCGAGCGGCCTTTCTGGACTCTGGGAACGCTTGGCGCCGGCTGAGAAGGCGGCGTTCGAGCGGCTGCTGAGCCGTGGCGAAGCTGGGCGCCTTCTGCCCCCTTGGCGGCCCTGGTGGTGGGGCCGCGGGGTTGGCCCGCGTTTTCTGGAGGAGTTGGATCGTGCCCCGGGCAGGGATCTTTCAGAGCCGGAGTCCACGCCCGAGAGGACGGCGTCCGAATCTCTGGATGATGCGGCCGCCGCGGTGCCACTTGCTGAGGACTCCGCGGCCGCTCGGCCGCCCGCAGTGCCCACCCGTATCCCAGCGCTGGCCAGCCTGAGCCGCAGCCCGGCTTCGCCACTCGTGCGCTTCCAGCTGCCCAACGTGCTGTTCGCCTACGCTCACACTCTAGCCCTGTATCATGGAGGGGATGACGACGCCCTGCTCTCCGATTTCTGTGCCACGCTGCTCGATGTTTCTGGAGCCCTGGGCGCCCAGCAAGTCTTTGACTCTACGGAGGAAGCCCTGCAGGCCGCAGCCCACGTGCTGGAATCGGGCGAACATCCACCCGGGCCCTTGGGTACGCGGGGTGCCATGCAAGAGGTTGCTCGTATTCTGCTGGGCGAGGGTCCTGTCAACCAGAAAGGCTACACGCTGACAGCACTGGGGCACCTGGCGCAGACCTTGGGCAGAGCCCGGAAACAGGCCGTGATCAGCGAAGAGCGAAATCGCCTTTACCGGGCTCGGAAGAAGTGCCAGTTCCTGCTGGCCTGGACCAACGAAAACGAGGCTGTCCTCACACCATTGGCTCTAGACTGTGCCAGGGCCCACCGAGCCCATGCTGTCACAGCCGAGGAGATGGCAACCCTTACTGGGGAGCTGGAGCGGCTTTGGGGAGGCCCGGTGCCACCTGCTCCAAGGACTCTCATTGAGGAACTCCCGGGCTGAGCTGGGTGTCCGTGTCATTAATAAAGACGTCACTGGTCTGCCTAGATGTTGGCAGTACCTTTCTTTTCTTCAAAGAGAGTGCCCTATTCAAGGCTTCCCTTGAAGTTACTGTGTAGCTGAGGGTGACCTTGAACTTCTGAGCCTGCCTCCACCTTGACAGTACTAGGATTACAGGTGTTAGTCACCTTGCTAATTCATGCAGTGCTGAAGAGCAAAGGTTTCGTGCATGCTAAGCAAGCACTCTAACTTAGCTACATCCCCCAGGCCTAAAGTGCCCATTCTGAGAGAAATCAGTTGTTCCACCCTGTCAGACTCTGGATCCACAAACTACTTCTCAGCTTTCCCTAGTCAGCTAGGCCTCCACCTCTACCCCTCAAATCACTGACCCCAGGGCAGAAGAGAAACACAAGGTTGAAAACATTTATCCAACAGGGAAAATACTTCCATATGGGAGCAGTGGCTCCCTCTTCTTGCTTCAAACCTCTTCTCTGAGGCTGGTCCTCCCTGCCGAGTAGAGTGGGGTGCAGGCCCTTCACCCCAGGTGTGTTCAGGCCTGAGCTGGTCAGATGGATCTGCTTCAGTAGATACAGGGTATGATTCGGTAAGGCACACGCTTGCAGTATTCCTGCCAGGCACGGCCATACTTGCGGATACACTGCTGCTCATCTCGGGCCTCCCGGTGCACCAGCAGCGCAGTGAAGTAGAGAAGGTAGAAGTAAGGTAGCAGGTGGGACACCCCTGTGGGAAGGGCTGCGTGAGCAGGCACCAGCACCCAGCGGATGGGGCTTTCTCATCTAAAGGCACACAAGGTGGCGGGTTCACCCGTTAAAGGCCCAGTGTGCACAGTGAGGCACTAGGACCCTCTCCAGCCACTGGGTATTCCTTCTGCCTGGTACACCAGACTGAGCCTGTTGTCACCACACCTGGTCATTCCCAAACCTACTCACCACAGGGCAAGGACCAGGCCAGAGCCATGATGAGGTCTCCCAGGTAGTTGGGGTGACGAACCATACCCCACCACCCAGATACCAGCAGGTGCCGCCCTGTGGCTGTAGGGATGGTTTCAAGACCTGGAGAAAGACAGCTAATGAAACAGGGAACCACAAAGCCCCGCCGCTTCATCTCACCCACAGTCTCCAGCAGAACCAGCTTACCAGCCACACTAGGGTCAGAAGGATTCTTTCTGAATGTGTTTTTCTGGGAGTTAGCTCCACGGAAGATGTAGTAACCAATAGCTGAGGGAAAGTATGATCAGGTAGTGAGGTGGAAGTTCATGCCTTCAGCCTAGCTCTGACCAAATCCCAGGCTCTGTTATGACACCCAGGAGTCAGCTCCCGCTTTAGAGGAGCATCAAAGCCTGGGACCATACCTGATAGGTAGTGAATAAAGAAGGAATGGGGGGGGGGATTAAGGCCCTCCTACTGACCCTTAATGAGGCAGATGAGCAAGGCCATGGGCAACCCCAGAGGCTGTGGATGGTATAGCAGGAACTGGGCCTGCAGGCTATAGGTAAAGGGTACCCAGGCTAGGTCTCCAAAGGCCAACATGAAGCCAAATCCATCGTGTATTATGTCCATGGTGGTGAGGACAGACTCCTGCAGGGACAAGACCCAGACACACTGGCTTAGTCCAGATGACATCCTCAGGATCCCCTGCTTGCCTTCCCTGCCCAGTCCAGCCTCACCTCATACCAGAGGGCATCACCCACATACAGCAACTGGAAGCCATTGACCAGGCACATGGCCAGGGAAGGACTCCCCCGCAGCTCTGCCTCTCGCACCAGCAGGGCCAGGTTAATGAAGACCTGAGGGAGTGGGGACATCAGAGTGGGACAGTGTCAGCCTCTCCCCTTCTCTCAGCCGTCAGTCAGTTCACATGTTGAATGGACCCAGGTCGAAACTGCCTATACTTAGAACTCCTGCTTTTGAATCTGAGCTTGGCCATCTGTGCGGAGTGTGTATCCCTGATAAAGCTCACTGTCCACTGCCATGTGAAAAATGGGGGTAAGGGCCCTGCCTTGAGCTGCTGTTTAAAGAATTATGCAATGCCTGCAGAGCTAAGGGTCAGCTTGTTGGGAACCTGCACTTGCACCCTCGTTTAGTAGCCCCAGGGGACTGGGTAGTGCAGCTTCTTCAGTAATACTGACGTGGACTTTCATTAAGGCTCCCTCTAATTAAAAAAAAAAAAGGCACTCCGGAGGCAGAGGCAGGCAGATCTCTGAGTCTGAAGCCAGCCTGGTCTACAGAGTGAGTTCCAGGACACCTAGAACTGAGACATAGAGAAACCCTGTCTGGTGTGGGGGTGGGGGTGGTAGAGATTAGGGGGGTAGTCTCACTAAGTAGCCTTGATTGACCTGGAACTCACAGAGATCTGCATGGCACTGCCTCCCAGTGTTGGCATTAAAGGTGTGTGCCACTACACCCAGCCCTCACAGTAATTTTAGAAGAAAACTTCATTCCATCCTGTTTCTCCAGTGAGAAAATAACCTTAGAGTCTGGTATGCATGCGGGCAGGTCAATCTCCAGATCTGTGGTGGGACCAGGCCTGGTGGGATTACAGTAGCTGTACTTGAGTAGCTGAGAGAAGTGGAAAAGACCTTGATTTTGAGACTAGCCTGGGCTATCCCAGTGAGACCTGTTTCAAAACCAAACCAAACCCAAACTTCAGATTCATAGAGGGATCTTGGCTCCTGCCTCTGTGTAAGATCTGCAAGGTGAAAGCAGGGCCTTGCCTGAGTCTCTGTGGAATTTTCCACCATCGTCCGTGTATGTATGATCCTAACCCAAGAGCAGCTGGTGTGTGGTCAAGGCCACCAATGACAGGCAAATTGTTAAATCCGGCAGTCCACTGGAGGCACCGAGCTGCCTGGCCCTCCCTTCAAGTAGTGCTTGGTCATTGTCTTTGGAGTCAGTTTTGTATCTGACCACTGTGTCCAAAGCTTCATGTGCTCTCCCAGCTCCCTGCCTGCTTTGCCCCACCCCCCGAATCTGTCGTCACTGTCATGCTGTATATATTTAGTTTTGTGGTGCTGGGTTGGAATCAAGGACTTTTTGTGTGGTAGCCAAATGCTCTCTACCTAATTTTTTTTTTTTAGATTTGGTATTAAGACCCCACTTGGTGACTTCCATGGCAGAGCAACATATTGGCAAGTGAATGAATGATGATTGCTGTCTACCCAACAATGCTAGCCCACCCTGCCCTTCGCTTGGCCCAAGGCCAGCATAGTTAAACCCAGCATGCCCAGCATGCCCAGCATACCCAGCCGATGAGGCCAGGTCTCAGCTCACAGAAATATTTGAAGTCAAAGGAACCAAGGCGAGGGTTCAGCTCCCGTCCCAGAAAGAAATCGTAAACGGAATTTCCTGGGGGGGATAATAGAAAGTGAAAGCACAGGTAGGCATCCTGTCTGCTGCCTCACCCCTACCTCACTGGGACCCTTCTCACCTGAGTTTCCTCCAGGTGCCAGGGCCGAGTCGGGAGCTGTCAAAGCCTTCGCATAGAGAAGGAGGCTGAAAATGAAGCTGGTAACAGTGGTCGCGAAGGCCAAGGGCAGGAGCATTTCAGGGAGTGCCCCCAGGGGCAGCCCAACTGACACCCCCAGCCCCACCAACAGGGCTGTTAGCACCAGAGCCTGGAAGCCTGAACCACAGCAGAGTGAGTTCTGGGATTGCATATGTCCACAGCTACCACAGCACAGGGTAAGACCTGGGGTTGCATACTTACACACACACACACACACACACACACACACACACACACACACACACACACACACACACACACACACACGAGCGAGGTTCCCATAGGGGTCATCAGAACCAGTCCACGGACCTCCCCGCTAGACTTGGAACCCACCCCAACCCATGTAACTCAGATTCAGTGATGGGGAGGGGAAGCCCCAGGCACCATTAATAGGGTAGCGCAGGCGACTCTTGTCCTTTAGTTCCAGCCCTTCGGCCACCTATGAGTATAGGGAAGGTCTTATAAGAGTTGGGGAGGCCTTCCCCCGTCGAGCCCTCTCTGTCCCCTCCTCCCGTGTTAAAACAGAGCGCACACCTTGCGCGCAGGCAGCAGGTAGAGCGCCACCTGCAGGCCGAGCCACATGAACAATAGCAACAGAGCCCATGGACTCCACAGCTCCTCCAGTCCAGGCAGGTAAGCGGGTGGGCCCAGGAGCCGCGCCGGGCCCGATCGGGCCGCCAGGAGCAGATGGAACACGGTGGCAGGCAGCAGGACCATCATCGCTGTGACGCCTGGGGAGACAGCCAGTGTCGCGTGACCGCTCCCCAGAGCTCTCCCAAGTCCACAGGCACCTTGGGTCACCTGCCTGCTTAGCAGGTTCCCGGCGCCATACTCCTACCTTAATTTTCATCTTAGTCCTCCCAAAGCCCATCCTCCTGCTCTTCCAACTGTCTCCCATTCCAGAAACTCCCTGCTGTACAGCTGCCAGCATCCATCCATCCTCTCCTGCAGACACTCTGCCACCCGCGTACCCTGATCTTTCTGCCTCCAGATTTCCCAAAAGCCTTCTAGCTTTTCCGTAAGTAGCATCGGTCCAGCTTCCACACCCAACCTTCCCATTTACCCAATGGCCCCCCGAATTCCAGTGGGGCCTGGGAGGCCTCACGAGGAGTCATGATCTCTGCTTTGCCGGGGAGCGATGGTTCACAAAAGATTATGGGAACACATCCTGCCCCATCCTGATGGCCTGGTTAAGCTTCTGTGTGGGCACTGAGGTGAGAAAGCTGCTGCTCTTGTCCAGCAATCTTTAAATGGACGCGCCCCCTGCCCATCCTGGGCCCAGCACAGCAGCCAATCAACGCTGGGAGGCGGGGCCGCGCTGTCGCCTCAACATCAAATGATGAGCTTCGACATCAAAACCCCACCCCTAGCGGGTCCCGCCCCTTCAGGCAAGAGGGAGGAGGAGGCCACACAAGTTTATTAAACGGGTCCAGACACCCGCCAGCGGGGTGAGGACAGGGCACGGTGAGGACAGGATAGGACGATGGGGCTGCCCCGTGACAGCTTCGGCAGGGCCTAGCCGCG